ACAACGCTGGCTTCACCAACATTACCGCTGCTCTTGCGTCGCTGCCCACGGATGCGACGAACCAGACGATCTTTGTCTACCCTGGAACATACAACGAACAGATTCCATCAGTAAACCGTCCTGGTGCAGTAAGGATCATCGGTTACACCAGCGATAGCCCTGGCCAGTCGTACAAGGACAACCAAGTCACAATCAGCTACGCTCGTGGTCTTTCCGTTTCCCCTCTCCCTGTTGGCCATTCGGATGCAGAGACTGCCACCTTCGCGACAGCATCCAACAAGATCAGCCTCTATAACATCAATATTGTCAATACTGATAACCTTGATGGGTCTACGGCATCCTATGTTACGCTTGCTGGCTCCATCTATGGAAACGACATCGCATTCTACGGCTGCTCTTTTGATGGATGGCAAGATACCTTATTGACGGGTGCGACCACTGGTTATCAATACTATGAGTCTTGCTACATTGGCGGTGCAATCGATTTCATCTGGGGATACTCCAAAGCCTACTTCAAAGGCTGCACGATCGGCGCTAAGCGTAAATCCTCTGCCATCACTGCCCACAGTCGTGCCTCCTCGTCGGCTATCGGAGGTTACATCTTCGATCAGTGTCTATTCACTACTGCACCCGGCGCAACAGATGATCTTACTAACAAGGTCTTCATTGGTCGTCCCTACTCTGCTTACGCTCTTGTTGTGGTAAAAAACTCATACTTGGATTCTGCGATCAGCCCCTCCGGCTGGAAAATTTGGTCTGCAACCGACCCAAGAACGGATCACATTACCTTCGCGGAGTTCAACAACAGTGGACCCTCCAACTGGGAGAACAATGTCGCTGCTCGTGAGGCGTTCGGCAATGCCACACTTCTTGCATCTGACACTTATTCGCTCACGTCTGTCATGGACGCCACCGATTGGATCGATATGACCTACTGGAACTCTATCGTTACTCCACAGCCAACCGTTGCTGTCACCATCCCGACGAATACTACTGTCGGTGGCAACTCCACGTATGACGGAACAACGCCTCCTTCCGGAGCTCTTATCGTTTCTAAGACTCCGATCGATGGGGTGGTTACCTATGACACCATCCAAGGTGCTCTCAATGCCGCCCCAGTCTCGAGCAAGATCAATGCTACCATCTTCATTTACCCCGGAATTTACAACGAGCAGCTCATTGTTAACAAGTCTGGAACCACTATCTTCATGGGGTATTCAAACGTCACAGATGATTACTCTCAGAATCTGGTCACAATCCAGTTTGATCATGGAATCGATACTCAAGCGGCCTCAGGCAGCAACACTGATGGCGCAACCGTCTTCACTACTGGCAACTACTTCTACGCGTACAACATCAATTTCAGGAACAACTATGGAACCACCAAGAACATTGCCTCGCTTGCATTCGCCGTCCAGAGTAGCAAGTTTGCTGCCCTCTACAGTTGCCAGATATATGGAAATCAGGATACTCTAAGCATTTCTGGCTATTTTTTCATGTTCAAGGGCTACGTCGAGGGTAATGTCGATTTCATCTACGGCTCTGGATCTGCGTACTTCCTGGACTCCACGATCTCACCGAATGAAGACGGCATATCTATCGCAGCGGGTAAGAGAACTACCAATACCACAGCTGCCGGGTTTGTCTTTGATCAGTGCACCTTGAAGCCTGCTCCTGGCACTGGACCTTTTACAAACATCGGTCTTGGTCGTCCTTGGAACAGCTTCTCGCGTGTGGCATATATCGACTGCTATCTTGATTCCATGATCACTCCTGCAGGTTGGAATCAGTGGAGCAAGTCATCGCCTCAGACCGATGGTGTTGTCTTCGGAGAGTACCACAACTATGGTCCTGGATCGTCCACTTGCAGCCGCGCCAGCTTCTCGCAGCAGCTCTCAGATGCCGATGTTGTCCAGTTCCAGCTCGCCAACTTCTTTGCGTCTATCAAATTCATCGACTTCTCCCATGTCGACACTCAGCCATTCACGATTGGCAGCGGTACAGCCCAAGTATGTGCTTCTGCTTCTTCGTCAATGATCTCGTCAACTACGCTTAGCTCCAGCACTCTCTTGAGTTCCTCTACCGTAGTTTCAACTATGTCTCTTCCCCTCGTTACTGCCTATACCACGACTACACTCACCGCCAAGCTTACAGCCAGCACGACTGTCACGAACGCCGACATGACATCGACTACTGTCGTCAAGATCACTTCTACGGTATCGATCAGTGGCGCCGACGTTGTCAAAACTAGCACTGAGAAGGCAACTGCAACTGTGTCGATCACATCTCCTGACGTGACCTCGACCTCGACCATTGTGGTTACCGAAGATCATGGACTCACCGTCACTCCAGAGTTGATCACGAAGAGCATTGTGGTTACATCTACCGCCACTATCGCTGGCGTCACGACCCAAGCTGCTGCTACATCGACCATCAAGGGCGTCACAACGGTAACCGCTTTCTATACCTCGACTCCCAAGGCCACGACTATTACCCAGAGTGAGGGTTCTACGCTGCTTCTCACAAGCACTGTCACACCTAAAGGGGCTTCTACTACCGTCAAAACGACCGTATCTGTCATTCCAAGCAACACAAAGACTGTCACGATCAAAGCGAAGAACAGCGTCACCGTCAGCGTCGTGTCCACCAAGACAGTTACTAAGAAGTCCACGACAACAGAGTCTTGCATACCCACTGCTGCTGCACGTATGGTCCGCCGCGGTGCTGTCTTCCCCCGCGCTTTGGTTGGCACCACAACTCTGACTGTGACCACAACTCTCACCAGCTATGTGAAGACGATAACAGCCACACAGAGTGGCGCTACCGCCTTGGTCACCGCGACGTCCATTGCGAAAACGCAGACTATCACGGAACTCGGAGTCACCAGCACTGTAAGCTTGACGTCTTTTGTCAAGACTCTCACCGTCGCTCAGCCAGGCTCGACCCAGTTCACAGTCGTGACTTCGACATCCGCAGTTGGCAAGACAACGACGCTCAAAGCATCTACGACCACGGTTTCGGACACTCACTACGTCACCAAGACGGGACTCCAGACTGTGACTGCTCCAGCTGTAACCGTAAGCAGCCTCAAGACAAGCTCGAAGGTACAGACCGTGCTTGCGGAGCAACAAACTGTTTACGTCACGAGAATCGCTGATGCAACCTCGATTATCCGCACTACGCTCCCTGCAAGCACAAACACCGTCTTTCAGACGATTACCCAGGGAGGCGGCGTGATCACGAGCACTGTGACGGCACCTGCAGGAACGAAGACTGTTGTTGTGAAATCTACCACGACAGTTTTCGCGGTCGCGACGAAGGTGGCGAAGAATGCGAAGGCTTGCGAGTAGGTATATTTGATACATGATTCCAGGTTTGAAAGAAATGGTTGATGAGGTATCATGAGATGCAATGACTTCTTGAGGTTGTTACGGTATATACTTTTAATGTTAATTATAATATGAGTTTCGATCAACCCCTTAGGGCCCAAATTGGTGATCTCATAGCGTAGAACAGTATTGATAACAAAAGGACATGGAAAAAACTTGATGGTCTCTGCCTGGCAGACCAAAAGGTACTGAGTGTATTGTTATCAAAGTCTGTTTCTACTTAGAAGCAAAAGCTTCAATATATCTATTGGAGATTTACGCTCGACACTGGTAGCCTCTTATCAAAGGGCTGTAAATTTGCAGTAAAACGAAGAATGGCAGACCATAGGTTGTGAAATAACTTGCTAAGTAAATTCGGGGCACTGTAATTTCTTCCACCTCTTGATTAGCCTACTAAGCATTTCGTTCACTGATTGCCACTTCCTGAATTTCAACAGACATCTATGTAGCTCAAAAACTCGGTGTAGGGGTAGTTGTTGTAGAGAGCTGAATTACGTTATCTCATCTAGCGGCCCAGCTAATAGGTTACAAAGAATATTATATCATGGCAACATATTAGGTGAAGAACTGCTTTACATTAGCTTAGGAGTCTATCATCATTAATCAATCAATTGCGTATAGTGATAAGCGGACAAAATGCTGAGATCGGGTTGTGTACGCTTATAGCTAAAGCTAGCAGTCATCACATGCGTGGGATGCAGGTAAGGGGTAGGTAATCGCCTTGCGTCAATATCACGGCTTCAGCCTAGTGGACGTCCTTCATGTTTCTCTTTTTTAATTCTGGTTCCCTTTCTTCTTCAACACCCGTCTTGCTTTTGCCGCTTCATATAGAGCCAGTTGACATTCCTAGCGTCTAATTTCATGGTACCACTCATTATAAGAGCTTGGCTATAGAAACTAGAGTGTTCTTTTGGCCACAAGAACTTCAAGATGAACCAATATGTTAGAACCCTGCGGTGTTGCTATGCAAGAGCAAGCGTGAACGAAAGCCTAGACGCGATTGCAGGTACGAGGACGACATCGAGGATGACAGAATCTGTCACCACGGTACTTCTAGGACTGTCAAAAGCTTGTGGAAAGCATCTGCATTAGGTAGCAAACACATCAGGATGGTTGTTGTCTTTTCACAGGCTTGAGATACCGCATATACATCGTACGACGTCATGTTAGCGTAAAAGAGAGACTTTTACTAGTACTTAATCTGGCTTTGGCCGTTAAAAAGCGCTAGTCTAGGACTGACATGACAACTTATAACGTTATGTAGGTCACCGCGAATGTAAATTGAATATATCACTGAGTTGTATCCTGGACGTAGTTTGTGACCTATGGCTACACCTCCTCAAATCTGCAATAGCTTGCAACGAGCTGAGTGGCAGCATTCGTCTCTAACTCCAAAATGGTTGCAGAATTGGAATGAGAGTTGGATACGAAGTACTGCGGCTCCTGGGCATCAATCGCTCAAGATACTCTATGAAGGCGAATCAAGACGTGATTGCAAGGGAAGACTATACAATTGCGAAATGAGACATACGATGCGCAAAGTATGCAACAATATAGCTGTCTCTGTAACATTTGCTGAGCCAAAAAACAGACGCTTCTTTCTCCTGAAATCTAAATAAATCTCCCCACTGCAGACGCTAGTTCAGACAACTACACTATGGTTAGCGATCGTGTTCCATATAACATTCATGCAATTTACTTACTTCCTCCTTGCCCTTCATCAGGGTGAAATGGTTTCCGTCAAGGTTCATAGTTTCGATTACAACATTTCCTAGCAGTTTATCCCACCCGTTGGGCCCGAAGTCAGTGCGATTGTTGAGTAGCCAGTTCATGCTCTTTGGTTCATCACCCCTGACCTCCGGCCTTGGGCTGTCGGGGTACCTGCACACGCCATGACGAGCCCAGATAGCTAAAGTGCGAGGACCTTGGCCGCTATACTTGGCTGGAATAGGTTGAGGCTTGTATGCTGTCAGAGCTTTGATGCTAGCTTCGAAGTGCGAAAGAAGCCAGTCCGGAACCTTGCTTTCATCGTCGCTACCGATGAGCCCAATATCTGCGAAGAAGTGGTGCAGACGTGATGGTAGAGGTTCCAATGCGATGGGGCATGGCGAATCAAGGAGGAATAGTGACTCTACTCGTTCGCCTGCTGCTAGCAGTTGGAGCGTGATCTCGTAAGCGACAACACCTCCAGCTGACCAACCGCCAAGGTGATATGGTCCTTTTGCTTGCCGACGACGAATTTCTTCCAAATATTGTGTGGCCACACCCGAGATCCCGTTTGTGAATTGAGAAGGTGTTTTCATGTATGGAGAGTTCAAGCCGTACACCGCAACATATGGATCGATAGCCGGAATGCCGACATATGAAGTGGCTGATCCAGAACCATCAGGAAGTAAGAAGAGAGTTTTGGTCGCTGTACGCGGCTTACCCTGAAGTAGTATCGAGACTGCCCGCGGCAACGGTGCTGCTGGCTGAGAAATCTGGCGTGGGGTGCTTGTCCTGGTCTTGCGTGGCCCCTTCGGCTTTTCCTTCACTGGCTTGGAGTTCTCCACCGGAGTAGGATTGAGAAACCTCGCGATATCATCAACAGAGTTGTGCGTCAAGAAGAAATCCGAAGGCAGATCCAACTCGGTCTTCTCCCTGATGATGCCGAGGATGCAGATGCTCATCAATGAATCCATTCCGAAAGAGAGAAGATCGTTGGATCCGACTACCTCCTCAATGGCAATGCCCATTTGCTCTGAGATGGTCTCCCTGAAGAGTACTAACAGATCGTCGCCGGAAGAGCCGCCTTTAACTATCTGGAGGGACGCCTGCAGCGGCACCGATAATTTGGCATCAACGTCCGCGGAGAAGTTATCCTCGTCGTCAGTTAGAATAGATGGCGATGTTGCTGCAGTCGATGTTGAGGCAGGGCTTGTTGAAACAGATGATGGATCGTTGTCTCCACTGATCTCATCCAAGTAAGCTTTGAGGTCTCCGACAGTCTCGTAATCGATGAACACATTTGCGGGGAGATCGATATCCAGAGTTTCTCGAAGCTTGCCCAGTATCTGTAGGGATAGCAAGGAATCGATACCCAGGCTCGCGAAAGCGCATCCATCTTGAAGCTCTGAAAGTGGCAACTCAGATTCCATCGAGATAAGGTCCATTACCCGGGCGGTCAACGACGATGCTAGCTTGATAACGTTGGTCTTTGGCTTTTCGAACCTTCCAGCATCGGGGAGAGCTTTGCTTGTCACCAGAGTCGAGTTCCTTGATTTTGTGTCAAGTTGAGGTCGTATCGCAGTACCAGTTGCAGAAGCTTGCGGCGGTAGAAAAGAGTTGAGCACCGTGCGCGGAACGCGTTGGAACTTGAGTCCAACACACATGGCGACAATAGTGTTGTTTTCGAAAACGTAAACATCTCCTGCCATGATGTTGCTCTCGCCTGAATTTTGCATCTTTACGTAAGAGTGGTACGTTTTGGTTCGCTCAAGCGGTACTGCGAATCGCAACGCCTTCCAACCATGAGAGATGTAAACAAACTGCTTTGTGTCAATCGCACTACCGCCGTTCAGGATGAAACCAGCCAAGTGCATAAGGCTGTCAATCCAGTACGGACAACAAAAGAAATGTCCATCCTTGTCTTGGGTCTGGAAGACAACGCGGGAAGTAGCTTCAAAGTTGGCTCCATCGATGATAACCTCTTCCATGCCCTGGTACGGTAGTTTGTAATCCACGAAAGACGAAAAGAGTCTGTAAAGAAGTGTGCGAGACATCTTGTCTGCCTGATTTCTTGCCAACTTCTCTTTGAGGGTTTCCATTCGTCCTTCAATGAGATAAGCCATGTTGTTCCAGCCAGTTGTCCATGCGGTGGTATCCTCGAATGTAGCAACACAAGTGGCATGGAGGGTTGACTGTTTGGAGACACGGTCAATAGTGTGATACGAAACCTTTGCTTCGCCCTTGTTCAAATCAGCTTCTACACTGATTTCCAAAACACGGGTTTCGGTCTCGACACCCTTGATGATGAGAGGCTTGAAAACTTCCATATCCCCGCAGTTGACACCTGATGCAGGGTTTCCAGGGTTCATCTGCCTATAAACGTAGTCACCGAGAGTGAGTGCCATGTCAGCGTAGATGGACTATACGTGGTTAGCTCTGATCGTTCAACTTAGCGACAGAATTTCTTACAGATGAGAACAAACTTGTGTTGTTGACCTGATGACCCTGAACAGCAGCCCGTAGTATAGGATGAGTAAGATCAGATTGGGCAGTGACATTGCCTTTGCCATCATGATAATATTCTGATGTGATCCTGTGAACTGACGTTGTGGAAAGTCTGCTCTGAGGGGAAAGCTGCACATCCTCAATCGCCTTGGCATTCCGAGGCTCTACCTTGTGCAAGCACCAATCGTTCACGTAGTCGATCCAGTAATTCTTGTTGTCGAAGCTGTATGATGGCAAGTCGAGAAGGATGTGGCAAGACTCAAATTCGCGATGGAACTCGCGGAAGTCAACCATGATCCCAGCACAGTGTAGAGAGCAGATAGCGTTTGACAGGCTCTTCCAACAGTCTTCACCCTTGACAAGAGTGGCAGTCGTAAAGACTGCTGGTGAAAAGGTGCTCTTCACCATCCTGGAGCAAATTGGATGTGGTCCAATCTCGACAAAGAGTGTTTTTTCGGTAATATGGCCTCGTACTTTTGCAGTCTCGAGTGCCTCAACAAAATTCACGAGCTCTCTAGCGTGTTGGCAAAGATAAGAGGCATTGAACACCCCTTGCACCTCGACAACCTCCCCAAGAAGCGGCGAAATGACTGGGATTTTCGGTTTTCTGAACATGATTTCGCTGGCAAGTTCTTCGAAGCTCGAGAGAATTGGATCAACCTGCGCTGAATGAAATGCATATGGAAGATTGAGGAGCGTGCACTGTATACCTTCCTGCTTCAAAGTTCTTGACAATGCGTCTATTTCTTCGATTATACCAGCGAGTACAGTGTCGTTTGGAGAGTTCAAGCATGCAATGTCGAAGGGTAGATCTCCGACGGCTGATTCAATATCCGCTGCAGAGGCTTTTACTGCGAGCATAGCATGAGTGTTCTCTTTGCATTTTGTTTCCAAGAGATGTGCTCGAGCTCCTACAAGGTAGACAGTGTCTTCCATGGTAAGGACCCCGGCTGCGTAGAGTGCAGCGTATTCCCCAAGGCTGTGTCCTACAACGAGGGAGGGCTTGACACCCCACGACTTCCATAGCTGCACGAGTGCGATCTGAACACATACTAGTGCAAGCTGAAGGACCAATGACGATGGCTGTTCGATTTCGATTTCGTTTATCGCCGGAAGGAAAGAGGGGAACCCTTGCGCTGTCGAGATCTCGTTGAGATGCAAAATCGTTGATCGAAACTGCTTCGAATGTTTCAGGAGAGCCTGCCCAAGTCCGAAATAGTACGCTCCTTGACCGGTGAAGACAAATGTCACCTTTGGTGCTGCGGATGGAACTGGAGAGAAGTTCCCTTCGTCGGCCTTTTGCAATAGCGATGATTTGAGATCGTCAAGGTTGGATGCTGTCACTCCGATGCGGTAGTTGTGATGCATACGACGCGAGGTTAAGGTATAAGATAAGCTCGAGAATGCCTCGTGCGGAGTACCAGCTATGTGGGACACTAGCTGTTGGATGTTCCTTTGCAACGAAGATAGGGACTTGGCAGAAACAACAAAGGGAAGCGAGGTGCGTGGATCCTCATCCAAGGGTGTTGAACTTTTGGCTGGTCTTTCCTGTATCAGCATAGCGGTGTTACCTCCAGCGGCGCTGAAGTTGTTCAAGAATGCTGTCCGTGGCATTCCATTTCGTGATGGCCATGGAATATTGTCGAAAGGCACCCGCATGTTGCGGCTTTGAAGATCGGGGAAGCCAGGGTTGATCTCATGTTGTATTCCAATGTGGCGAGGAATGGAACTCTTTTGAAGCATAAGAAGGACCTTGATGAGTGCTCCGACTCCCGCAGCTGCTTCTCCATGACCTATGTTGCACTTCACAGCTCCGATGTACAATGCTTCATCAACACCGGCGCCTCTAGAACCTTCAGGAGCAAATACATCAGACACAGAGCGGATCTCTGTCATATCTCCTGCCTGTGTTCCTGTACCATGCATCTCAATGTAGCTCACGTCCAGGGGGCTGATGCCAGCATCGTGCATCACACTTTGGTACAGATAAGCTTGATTTCCAGCATGAGGGTGGGTGATGGATATCGCGTCGGCAGAGTGGTTGGTGGCAGTGGATAGGATCACTCCGAGAATGTTGTTCTTGTCTGCCACTGCATCGTCCAATCTCTTCAGAATGATCGAGCCGACGCCGTCAGCCCGACAGTATCCATCGGCTTTGCTATCCCATGTTTTGCAAGAGCCAGTTTTGGAAAGGAACTGACCTTTGCTCAAGCCAGCAAAGATATCCGGTGCTGTGAGGATATTCACCCCGCCAGTAACTGCCGTGTCACACTCTCCTGACTTTAGAGCTGAGCATGCAATCTGAATCGCTGCCAAGCTAGAGGAACAGGCCGTATCGACGCTGTAACTAGGACCACGGAACCCAAAGTGGTAGCTGATCCGACCAGGAGCAAATGCTCTAACGCCACCTGGAATGAAATACGTTTCGATGTTTTGGGCTGCGTTAACCTCACGCCAGTCATCGCTCGTTTGACCATAGAACGTACCAACACGGTCTTGTTGTGAAGATGGTGTCGCGTTTAAAACAAATCCAGACATTTCCAATGCTTCATATGCAGTTACCAATGCTAATCGGTGCATGGGATCAGTTTGTGTAGCTTCCCTAGGAGACATGCTGAAAAACCGAGGATCAAAGAGACCTGGTTCCTCGATGAAACATCCGTATGGGGTGTGACTTGAATTATTTTTCTTTCCTTCCGGATCGAAGTGTGTTTCAACATCGAATCGATCTTTCGGTATCTTGCGATGCATGTTTCTGCCGTGGACGAGGAGGTCCCACAGCTGATCGACATCGGGCGCACCTGGAAAGCGCCCAGACATCCCGACAATGGCGATCGCCGGGCTCGGTACCTTGCATTCTGGCTCGGAAGGCTGTGGTAGTGATGACAAGCTTGCTAACGCTATGACCGTGACCGGCTTTGCTGTATTGCTTTCGACGAAAGTTTTGAGAATTTCTGTCATGGGACATTGCTCAAAGCCGAATAGTTGGACTGTCGTGATATCTGGTTGAGAAAGATTGTCCGCAACAGTCTTGAAGATTGAGGACCACTGAATTGGATGCTTGAGGATATCTTGGATGGTTTCTGTGAATAAAGAAAGTGCAGCGTTTGCGCGCGATTTCTCTCCGGTACTCGCAGAAACGATTGCTCTTTTCGGTGGGCTGAGCCTGCCGAGGGCAAGGGACCGCGACTGGATCACTTCTCGTACTTGTTCATCGCTGTAAACATCCCCTGAATGCCATACTCCCATGCTCGGTAGCATGCGAACATGTGTTGATTTCAGCAGGTCGGAATGATGCCTTAGCCAGTCGAGGCGTGCAGGACTGCCACTGATCGTACATTCTGAGTCACTGATAGAAGTAACAAATGCTCTCCCAGCGATTGGTAGTTTCTAGGTTGAGTCAGCTACCTTCTCTTTCCAATCATATGTTGGTCGAGGGCTTACTGCATCGTCTTGTATGTTTCGAAGTTCGTCCTGAATATTCTGCGATGCAATTGGAACAACTATGCTCCAAGCACCGCCTGACTCTTCTGAACGTTTACCCTGGATAGAAAATGTCTCCACAACTGAACCAGTGCGAAATGCCAGCCTAACAGCTTCAACAGCAACATCGGGGAGGTCAACTATAGTAGCCGCACATGCGATAGCAGCAGCACATAGCTGACCCAAGCCAGCACCGACAAGGAGACCGTCGTTGGTATCCAGGCTATACTGGTTCTTCTTTTCGTTGTGGCTACGAATCCGGCAGTAAGCGATGTGTTCTTAAATTGCGAGGCAGTCGGTTGTACATACCCGATGAATTGTGCTAGTTGAGAGATACAGAGGAGAGCACTTGAAACTTCCACTCGTTGAATCTTGGAGGCAGCATGTCTCTCACTGAGATCAAAAGCGCTGTTGAAAGGCGGAATCTCATCTCTCACATCCCGATGGAGATTCCAAACCTCATCCCGAAGTGCATGATACGCCTTCTCGAGGAAGGATTTCGCGAGTACTGTGCTCTGTCTTGCGTGGTGTACCTGCCGAATAACTTCTCGGGTATCTAGCAGCTGATTGGGAAACAAGAGAACAGACATACTGCAAAAACAGAAGCCAAGACCAAGATATATGATTAAGAGTAGAAGACAGAGTTTGTGTAAAAAGTGGCCTCAGCAAAGGGAAAGGTATATAACATAGTTTGCACATCATTCATGCTTGTATCGGCAAGCGAAACCCGCTACACACAGCGAGTTGTGCCGCTCCGAAAACCTCTAGTCAATGTACCTGTCTATGTCAATCTGGACCGAGCTGAGCTCTAAGGCGACGCAGCATTTTCGGCAAACTATGCGACCCACCTTCGTTTCACGGCGCCGAGCACAGTGAGTCTGAGGATTGAGTGATCGGAGCTATGATAATGGCAACAGGCTTCAGGCATGCTTTGGCAACTGATAGCTTGTACCGGATTTTATGAACCAACAACAACCTTTGGCGTCTGTGTTGTTGATGCTGGTTTGCAGCCGATGTTGGCAAGGCCATCGTCTAGAGTAACATCAAGCTTACCATTGAGTGCAATACCCAGCATCTGGAATTGTCTTCTAGATTGTGTAGGACTGCTTATCACAAGCCGCCAACCCCATTGGTCTTCTTTCGATTGGTTGATTTTCAGCGTACAAACAACCCCGACGTGACGGGTGTTTCAAGTTTAACCACAAAGTCTCTCGACAATATCTACAAGCGTAGTACCGAGAACTATCCTTGACACTTTGCAAACCCTGTCGCGGGTCGGCAAGAAAGAGAATCAGATAGGACGACAACGCTTATCGGGTGCTGGTAAATCTCAGCGATCGCATCGGGTTTCCCATGGTAAGACCGAAACGGATGCTACGCCTTCCATCCCTGCAATTGATATGATGGCGAAGGGTAAATTACATGTGCATAACTCGGCAATTTGGTGTTCTCTTGACAAGCTTAGTCCTGGAAGGGTCGCAGGTCTCGGGTTTCGGTCTTGCGCTTTTCGCCGTTGATACAACGGGATCGACAAAGATTGACCGTATAGCACTAAGCTCTTACAGTCTTTGGGGTCATTTTACTGGAAAGACATAGCATCCAGATCAACATAATAGCATCGGTCGTCTCAGCAACAGTCGAATCCCAAGCACGCCCAAGTCTTACAGCAAATAATTTGATGTTTGGCCTAGTGTCTCTGCTTTGAATTGCAGCGCAAATCTTTACAAAACTCGGCAAAATGACTGTTATTAATGGGTTCCACAACTCGTCCGTCTCACTCAAAGACCTTCCGGAAGATGATCGAGTGGGACTGCTTGCAGTCAAGCTAAGAAACACCTTGGAGAACTCCACAGTGTTGACGCCCGACTCGGAAGGATACGCAAAAAGCATTCAGAGGTGGAGCGATGCAGTTGAAATGAGAGCTGTGAGTTTACTGGATCCTGCAAAGTCCAACTGGCTTTTTGAGATTGTCTTTGCTGACCCTGCTTGATAGGGCATTGTGGTGTATGTTGGAACTACTGAAGATGTATCCACCACGGTCAAGTTGTCGCAAGAGTATTCGATCTCATTTGCCGTCTGTGGTGGCAAGCACTCCTCCAGTGGAGCGTCCTCAAGTGCTGGCGGATTGGTGATAGACCTTGGAAAGATGCGAGCTGTCGAGGTCGATACTAGCACTAACACCGTCAAGGCGCAAGGCGGTTGTATCTGGAAAGATGTAGATGAGGCCGCCGCTGACCAAGAATTGGCTATGGTTGGAGGTACCGTGAACCATACAGGTGTTGGCGGACTGTAAGTGATACATTTTCAATAACCCCCCTTCCCCCCCATGGATACTTTTCTGACCAATAAATAGGACATTGGGCGGTGGTTACGGCTGGCTAAGCGGACGGTACGGACTTACCATTGATTCCCTTCTCTCCGTTGAAATGGTCCTTGCCGATGGCAGGATTGTGACTACATCCAAGGACCAATACCCTGATCTCTTCTGGGCAGTGCGTGGAGCAGGCCATTGCTTTGGCGTCGCAGTCCAGTTCACTTTTCAGGCACATCCCCAGAACAATTCGATCTGGGGTGGGCAAATGGTGTTTCCCGCTAGCACAAAACTAGATGCGGTGATCGACTTTGCCAACAACTTGGTGGAAACCACCCGAGGCGACTCCGCCATGGTGATGGGAATTACGCAACCTCCATTCATGGAGGAACCAGCAGTCATTGCGACGGTTTTCCACAACGGACCAGAACCGGAAGCTTTGAAGGTGTTCAAGCCGCTGCTAGACCTTCAGCCACGGGTGAATACTGTCAAAGAACGTCCGTACAGGGAGATGAACGGTGTCATGAACAATGCAGTTAACTATGGTGGCCGCAAGCTATCCAAAGGCGCGTCTTTCAAATTGCCACTCCGTGCGCCATTCGTCCGCTCCTTGATGGACGGGTTGAAGAGTCTCCATTCGCGAGTTCCAGGTTCGAAGAAGACCATCATGCTCTTCGAATTTTTCCACACCGCCAAATTGAATAGCGTATCTTCCGATGAGATGTCATTTGCCAACCGTGGCACGCACCAGAACTTGATGTTCGGCCCATTCTGGGATAATGCTGAAGACGATATCGCCTCCCGTGCCTGGGCCAAAGGCGTTGCCGAATTGGCAAGGTCTGAACTAGAGCGTACGACACAGAAATCAGGTGAACGGATAGGAGAGTATGGAAATTACGATGGTAAGTATGCGTAGCTTTCAATCAGCAGGACAACAGTTAACAACGTCTTCAGCTTTGGCAGCTAAGCCTCGCGACATCTTTGGCCAAAACTTAGATCGACTTCGTGAGATCAAGATGACCTACGATCCAAAGAATGCTTTCAACAAGTCGTATGCTCTGGTCACGGCAGATTGAGGTAATCTTGCTACATATATAGACTAGTGCTGTAAGTAGCTTCGAATCTGAAACGAAGTAACGAACACTCTACCCGAAAGAGTATGTTGTCAGCCTGTATTCTTCAAATTTTTTCCCTATACCAGTACAGCGCCTGAGGAGATGAGTAGGTAGAGGGTCCTAGAATCCTCATGGTTCAAAGAATATACTACCACAAAACACAAATATATGCATTGCCTAAAAAAAGGTAAACCGTGCAAATGAAGTCCAGAGAATTACGTATAATATAAATGCAATAATCTCATCTTCACAGTATCGTATCTTAATTACTTCATTATCGTTACATACTATAGTTATATTCACGTTAGGATACAATCCTATCTTAGCCTAAAAGTATCAATTGTAAACGAAATTTCGTAAGAACAGGTTTCTAAGAAAACGGCTGCATGTTACACACCTAAGCAATTTCACTCCAGCTTAACGCTCATCAGGTCGTCCTTAAGCTTATTGGTTTTGACAAGGTCTATCCAGTTGTGTATATGCATAACTTCAATGCATACGTGTGAAGCTAGCAGTGGTGCTAGATAAAGCCAATCGGCGCTTGTCTAGTACCTAATTAGCCGCTATCTTGCGCTACTGATTAACCGCCGAGTGTATTCCGTTTCTTCCCCTGCTAGCTACAAACGCATTGACCGATTTTACATCTATTACGTTGATCCAAGCTCCTCTAAATCTTGGCTACCCCAGTTTATTAATTTATATGCCTTTAATGATCCACTGCGTGATCTTAATACTAATGTGCCCAATAACGATAAACCAGTGTTTTGAAGAGAAACAACCGATTTGTATAATGCCTACCCAGCATCACATCGCTTATGAGAATGATGATATCTAGTATTATGATCAACTATACAGAGCTAATCCATCAGAGGATTCAGACAAGCCTCTCTGGCGTCTCAATTGCAACATCTTATGTTGAAGTGATGTACGTGTCTCATATGGAATTGGTCAGCCTGTATGTCGATTGCTAAGCAGCAGAAGTACGCCGGAATTTAGTGCTATCAAAGCCGGTATTTGAACTTGCGAAGCCCGAGGGCCGACGCCAAGAGTGGATGAGGCACGGCTCTATCTAATCGGAACACAAGAAAATGCTGAGCAATCAACATTTTCAATATGGAAGGATGAATAATAGCGCCGTGAAGCAAGCTTGACCCATACTGACGCCGTAGTTGTTGAGAGGCACTCGCCAACCACCAGCCGAAACTATCTCGGAACGCCAGGATCTAAAGTACAAAGTAAAAGGAGAATCATCGAAATATCCTCAAATGCAGGCTCTCAAGAAGTTCATTTCACCCTTGCGCGTTCTCTCAAAACGTAGCAGTAACAACACCAAAACGATCCAATCCAAATCCAGTATACACACCATGTCTAAGCAAACCATCGTTGTCTTCGGCGCCACTGGCAAGCAGGGCGGCTCCGTCGTCAAGTCTCTGCTCCAAGATCCCAAGTCTGCTAGCAAGTTCCACGTCAAGGCCGTTACTCGCGACGTTTCCAAGGACAGCGCAAAGTCCCTTGAGGCTCTCGGCGCTGAGGTTGTCTCTGTGAGTTAGCAGTCAACGCCTTCGTCTGAATCAAGTACTGACTGATGCTTCCAGGCCGATCTCGACAAGCCCGAGACCCTTTCATCGGTCATCAAAGGTGCCTATGGTGTCTTCTCTGTTACAAACTTCCTCGAGAAACTTAACGCCGCGCCTGAGATCGTCCAGGGCAAGGCCGTTGCCGACATCTGCAAGGTTTGAAATACCACGAGTACTGACGTTTCCAGCGCTGACTTATCATCTCTAGGCTGAGGGTGTCCAGCATCTCGTCTGGAGCAGCTTGTTGAACGTGACCGAGCGTAAGTGCTGCTTCCATAGAATTCGCCTGATATGTGTTGACATGCTTGGTAGTCACGGGCGGCAAGCTCAAGAACGTTCACCACTTTGACAGCAAAGCCGAGGTAGAGGCTTACATTCGTGACATCGGTGTTCCTGCTACCTTCTTCCTTGCCGGTTATTTCATGTCTAACCTCCCGGGCATGTCGATCCGAGAGATGCCTGACGGCAACTGGGGCCTTGGTCTCCCGACTCCCGCTAACGCGCCCATGCCGCTTTTTGCCGCCGAACTTGACACTGGCAAGTTCGTCAAGGGCATCTTCCTTAACAAGGACAAAGTCCTCGGAGAGCGCATCTACGGTGCAACAGCTTACTACACCCCTACCCAGATAATCGAGGAGTTCAAGGAGAGCTACCCCAAGGTTGCTGCCACCACTTCGTACAACGAGCTCCCCGCGGAGGTCTACAAGAGTATCTTGGGTTCGATAGGTCTGCCCCCGTCCTTCCAGGAGGAGATGTCGGAGAATCACCAGCTTTTCTCTGTTGCCGGTTACTTTGGCGGTGCTAATCTTGACGCCAGCCATGCTGTGAGTCATCTTCTTTCTGGAGTGTTGGACAGTACTAACAAGGCATACAGATCGTGGGGGAGCCATTGACCACTTGGAAGCAGTATATCGCCAACAACCCCGCCTTTGCTGCCATCAAGTCCTGAATGTCTTTATTGAAAAGTGAGAAGAAAATGTGATTCGAGCGAAAGATGTACATAGGATTCATGCACAATACTATCATTACACGGTTGAATAAAATTGTGCCACTACAAACCCATGATTGTCATGCATAATTGACACCATTGTCTTATTGCTATCTGTCACAAGCTACCACGCCTCTCAGCCACGCTTCGGCTGAGCCAAGGAGCTGGAAGATCTTTTCTTCACGTTCGATACACATCATAAGCTGTCTTTCTGGTATAGTAGATTAGCAATAGTGCGTTAATAGATTAGGTGAAGCTACGATCTCGAGCTTTATTTTCTTCTCCACGATTGTATTACCAGTTTGCTTTTGCTTGAAAGAAAAAGTTCTTTATAATGAGTTATTAATTTTGCATTTTGTGTTCAGGTTTGTGAAAATGGGGCTAATATTTATCAATATTCACCTCTTTAACATGACCTAGCATCGAGTTTGGCTTATCGTTGTATAACGTGCTAAGGCGGGAAATATCACACAGCAGTGCAATTAATAATTGTTTAGAAATTATAGGTCAGGGTTATTGTTTCAGACTCCGTTCTCTTAAGACGTTCAAATTAGCAAAAAAAGGAACGCTACTTCTGTCAAGATTTTAGAATGCAAGATCCAACATCAAAGCTCGAATGTCTTGTCTCGAAATTCTGCCTATCCGCTATTCACTTTACTAGCTTTGTTTGTCTAGATATCTACAAAAGAACTCATGTTCACGATGAAAATAGAATTAAATTGACCCTGAGAAGATTTCGAATTAGCGCCACAGTCTCTGTCTAACTTGCACTCCTATTCTATTGTTTCTCTGAAGACTTATTGTGGCCCTTGATACCACAACGACATTAAGCAAAGAAGAGTGTCTTTGAAAATCAATTAAAGGACTGCAACTTCAATGAGAATCACAAGGGAAGTAACTACATGTTACCTAATACCCGTACATAATTCTCTACTCAAACGTATCTGCTGCACACTATGTGTCCGGAATATATACTATGAGCTACTCGCCTATCGCGACACGCATGCGCACACTCTCCGTGCCTCAACCCTCTTGCCTCAGGAACTCCTTCCTGCTCGGGCTCAAATTACAAACGAACTGTGCACTGACACGGAAACAATCTTGCACCGAGAAAACATGCGCCGGATCGCCCTATCCCCAAAGCCTAGCTTGATACTAGCGCCGGGTCTCGCGTTCTGTTCTGCGGGAGAAAAGCGGAACGGACGGGTCTGCTTGTGTTTGCGAACGCGGGGGTGCGAAGGTCTTGTTCCCGGATAAGTCTAACGATGAGACGGGATAGCTGGGAAAGCTCATGGAGTTAGGAATGCCGGTGCCGTTGTTGTGGCCGTCGGAATGACTCTCACCGGTTCGGCGACTGGTAGCTTGTTCAACGGAAAGAGAAAGACACAGGGCGAGTCTCACTTTGCCGAAGAATGATGTCAGTGGAGAGACAGTGTGCATGCGGGATAGGAAAGAGAACAGAACAAGAGGCGCAATCTATCTAACGATCTGCCACATCGTGATAATACTTATAGAGACGTTCACGGCTCATCTAAGTTACTTTCTACACTCAATAGACTTCGCTTTTTGAATAACACCATCTATTTCATCCTTCTACCCATCATGACTGCCCTCACTCGTCTCGCGTCAACCATTTCCGAAGAGAGCGCCAAACTCTCAAACTACATAGTTAGCAACAATTTACCCAGCCCGTCTTTTGATGTGGGCGCGCCTCCAGAGTTGCCTATTCCCATCGAGAACAATGAGCTGCAAGAGTCGCGGTTGAAGCTGCTTACAGCGGCGCAAGATCTCGCAGCACTGGCGCTGGGTCCAGTTGAGGACTTGCGGTGGAAGGCGTGGAACGTAAGCTTGTCTCCCAATATCACTGCTCTTGACCTGCCCGACTGAGACGTGGTAGCAATACAACGACAACGTCAGTCTGCACGCTATTATGCATTATCGGATCGCAGAAGCAGTGCCTCTAGTAGGCACCACCACTTTCGCCGATTTGTCTGCAAAAGTAGGCTTGCCAGAACCGCTCGTGACCCGCCTTATCCGCCACGCAAGTATCTACCACTGCTTTCGCGAGCCCTCGCCGGGATTGGTCGCACACACGGCCTCGTCCGCCGCCCTGCATGAAGGAGGCAGCGTGCGTGATTGGCTAGATATGACGTTGGAGGAATGGGGACCAGCGTCCGTCAAGGCCGTGGAGGCACTGCGTCGCTTCCCTGACAGCCAGGAACAAAGCGAGGGCGCGTTTGCACTGGCCTTTGACAAGCAGACTATCTTCGAGTACCTTGCCGAACGGCCCGAAAGGGCCAGGGTGTTTGGTAGTGCGATGGGCAACTTCTCAAAGGGTGCGAGCCACAAGGTGGAGCATTTCGTGGAAAGCTACGATTGGCAGAGTCTGGGCGATAGTACCCTTGTAGATGTAAGTGGCCCCACCTGAGCTTCTGCCTGAAGTGCGAACTGACTCAACAAACCAGCTTGGAGGATCCCACGGACACATTAGTATCGCCATTGCTAAGGCGGCGCCCAGGCTGAAGTTTGTTGTCGAGGATCTCCCAGGGACGACAGCCAACGGTGAGCGCCTGCTGGATGCTCAATTCAAGGACCGCATTCGATTTTTGGGCCACGATCTGAAAGATGAGCAGCCAGTCAAAAACGCGGACGTGTACATGTTCCGGTCGGTGCTACTCAACTGGCCTGACGCGTACGTTGTCAAGTTTCTGAAGAACCTCGTGCCGGCATTGAAGCCCGGGGCCAAGGTATTGATCAACGAAGGCTGCCTGCCTGAACCTGGGACAGTGTCGAGTTGGGACGACAAGCTGCTGCGGAGTCTCGATCTGTGCATGATGGCTATGTTCAACAGCAAGGAACGCACTGTCGAGGAGTGGGCGGGGCTATTTAGGGAGGCAGACGCACGATTCAGGTTCGTGGGGGCGAAGAAGCCCGAGAGTAGCTTGCTGTGGATCATCGAGGCTGTGTGGGAGCCCCAAGGTGAGCCGTAGAGGTAGATAGAGGTCAGGCAGTAGAGGATCTCATTACATATCCATACATCCGCTCGCATGTGCCAGGCGTTTGAGAGCCTCAACATTTGTCCTCAGACCCTGCTTGAGATATACGACTATGTCCTGATGCAGCTTAGTTTCGTTTGTGCCCACGCTAAGGCGGGAGAGGCGCCCCTCGAAAGCTTCAATCAAGGCCGTGATTTTGCCCAACTCGATCTTGAACAAGTTGGTTTGCAGAATCTGTTCATCACGAGCATCGAGCTCGTAGCTACCCAGACTCAGTCGTACATGCGATTGTGTATCGCCGCCCTCTATGATCTCGCGTGTCGATGTCCCGCTGGGCGTAGGTAGATGCATGGTCCCGTACATGTGCGGCTCTGCGCCGCGGCCTTGGTCCGTGTCGCGCGAGTGGAGCGTCTCCCGCCGGGCGCGTACCAGGGAGTCAAAGACTCCCAGCACGTGAGCAAGCAAGGCGGCCAGCGTCAACAGCAACATGACGTCGTTGCCGCGGGCGCAGGGCGAGCACTCGAGTGTGCTGGTGCACAGCGCCACAATGGAACGGTTCGCCGACAGGGCGCGGTCAAAGGGCATGACATGGCTGCTGCCTGCTGACGCAAGGGAGAGCTCTGACAGCTTTGCCAGGATCGACTGTTGGCATGCACAGATGGACGGCGTTGGCGAAGTGGACAACGAAGGCACCTGGTTTTGGCCTTGGTGTGCGTGTTGGAATTGATGTTGCTGTTGGTGTTTCTGTTGGTGGAGATGCTGCTGTTGTTGCGGCTGCGGCGTAAGGAGAATAGAGTCATCGCCCAATGAGTGGGGAAGGTCGACGAGCACACTGGCGGAGAAGTAGTCGTCCAAGGCGGGCAGGTTCAGGTTCATGTGCACATCCGAGGAAAAGTCGTAGGTGGCATCCATAGGCACGTGAGCACTATCTGTCGTGTTGAGTTGCGAATTGCCAGAATTGCGTCGAACCACACGGTTGGCCGTTGCCATAGTCGAATTGGGGGCGGTTCGTTTGCACGAGCGTAGCGACACGCTGTAGACGCAAAAGAGCCCGCGGCGCTCACATCGGCGGCAACGTGGTTGTTCTTTGGAGCACTTGACTTTTGCTGTATTACACGCGTCGCACGAGTTTCTCAGACGGGCCTGTGAAGCCGTGGGTATGCAAGACGAACTCATTTGGATAGCCTCGGGAGACCGTATGAAAGTGTCTTGTGTAGCACCAACTGTGCCGCGGCGAGTTTCATGACTTTATGCTCCCCACATCGTACCTAGGTCAACGCGAAAGTACCGGTCCAGATACAATTGAGAAACGTGCGCAAGTGCATCTGCCTACCTATCATGTCGTACCGTGAAGATGGGGCTCTTTTCTCCAAGACATCCCCGGACAACGTGTGGACTAAATGTACGCTCCAATGAATACCCCAGAGTACTATTTGGCCTTTGGTCCGAATCCACTCAAGATTCTGACGGATCGGCCCACAGGATGTAAGTTGAACCTCAAGCACGTGTTTTTGCACGTAGTATTGATTAACCTCGGTTTAGAAAGTGAACAGATGTAAACAGAAGTAAGCACCAGAGTATCAAGTTGCGTAGCGTGGTTTACAGACTTTTGGGATTACATGTCGTTGACTGTTCTACGACTTAGCTGTATGGTGAGAGTAACACGGCCTTATTATGCGACAGTTTCATCTTTAGATCCTATCTGTCGACCTCTACCAGTATGAATTAGCCTTGATCCCCACCTGTCCATATCCATCCGATGGGCGTGCTGGCGTGCTACTCCGCGAAATCGGGTCTTACACCCTATCAGATGGCGTTCCTTCTCACTACACCTAACCGCAGCTTAATCTCGTACACATACACCCATAGTGCCGATAAACATCCAAGCCACCAACCTGCACCCTCACATATTTCTCCGAGTTCCACCCCGAAGACAAGTCCACCATTGAAACCCGTCGGCTTTCACACAGCATCAGGCTGGCCCCGTTGTTCGAGTACTTATCATGCATGCTAGACGTGTACATTGGCCCGTCATCCGTCAAAGCCAACACGGAGCCTCACTCAGACTTAGCCTTAACCAAATATGCCTGTCCACACCACACCCTCTCCACCCGCCGTCGTACTCGGGACCGCCTCTTTTGGCACAGGCACGCCCCAGGCCAAATTCAATTCTGAAGAGACCACGCGACCACTGCTCCAGCTGCTCCAATCTCGCGGCATCACAGCCCTGGACACTGCGCGCGCATACCCCGTAGGCAATCCAGGCTCGGCGGAACTTGTTCTGGGCACACTCGGCGTTGGAGAATGGGCCAGCATCTCGACGAAAGTAACTTCGTGGCAGCCTGGGGCACATTCTGCTGCCAGCATCGCCTCGTCGGTGCCCATCAGCCTCGCCGCTCTGCGTGTCGAGGCCGTGGACATCATGTATCTGCACTCGCCTGACCGAGGTACCTCGTGGGAAGAGACATGCGCCGCCATGCACGAGCAGTGGAAATTGGGGCGCTTCAAGCGTTTTGGCCTAAGCAACTACACGGCAGCTGAAGTGCATGAAATCTGCGTCGTGTGCGAGCGCAGGGGATGGGTTCGTCCAAGTGTGTATCAAGGACGGTATAACGCTATCATTCGCAGCGGCGAGGAGGAGTTGTTTCCCATATTGAGGAAGTGGGGGATCGCGTTTTTTGCCTACAGGTACGCAGGACCCACATCCGCTACGTGTCGTACCTTATTTTACGATCGTGATAACCGATGACTGACAAATCTTCAGCCCCTCTGCGGTAGGAATGTTTTCCGGAAAGATAGATGCTAAGAGTGTGGATGTGGGAGGTTCGCGCTGGGATAAGACGGTGAGACGGCGCCGAACATGCTTCTATGTCGGACAAAACTCATAATTGACTAGACTCGATTGGGCCAGGCATACGAACAAGTGTACCTGAAGCCGGAGCTTATCGACGCCGCAGCTCGTATTGCGGATAAGGCGCAGGCCGCCCACATCGGGGGCCATGCTGTCGCCCTCAGATGGGTCGTTTACCATTCCATTCTCAACGGCGAGCATGGAGATTCCGTCATCATCGGCTGCTCGACTGTGAAGCAGTTGGAGGACAATTTGGACGCTATCAAAGACGGCCCTTTGAGCCATGATCTTGCCGAGGCTATGGATGAGGTGTGGAATGTTGTCAAGGATCATGCAGCGCCTTATCATTTGTAACTGGTGTTCATTCTTTAGTAGACTCGACAAGGGGTTGAAAGTCGGGCAGACTTAATCCGAAATCTCGGTTGTATTGCGGCACTGCTGGAGTGGATACTTGTGAAATGAGATTGCCCAGATATGTATGACAAGTATCAAAGTACATTGACTGTGGTTGTAAGGATTCTAAATATCTGTCTTCGAATTGTGTCGTCTCTCGAGATGGATCGGAACTTCGGAGGAGTATATTGATAGACTTATGACGTAGCTGTCAAATATTGCACTAGTTAGTCAGTTCAGCATGAGCCTTATAAACCACCCCAAGGGTATCTATCAGGATCACACCGCAATCTTCCAATTGAACTCGCGCTTGGATAATAGTCTTGTCTTACTGTGGTATATGGTTGTCAGAAAGATAACATGGAGAAAGCTCGACTAACAAGGAGACATATCCCAGGAATTAATCAAAACAAAGTATTGTACAAACAAATCAGGTAAACGTTTAAAACTACTACCCTCCCAAGATACAGCCTTGCACACCCCTTCCTCAAACTCAGCAAGTGTAACCCTGCGGCGCCGTGGGCCCCACGGAGAAAGGGTTGGAGAAGATGTTCGCCGGATCGAATTCCTTCTTCGCACGCACCAATCTGCAAACGCTGTCTCCGTAGTACGCCTTGTAGGGGTTGACGGAAATGTCTTTGTCAACGTATCCGGCGTAACTGGCGTCGCTGGAGGTGTGAGGGTTAGCAAAAAAGAACCTGTAATTGAACCGGATCGCCAACTTACCCAATCTTCGGACGAAGGTACGTCTCGACGCTCTTGATAAAATCGTCCGCCTCGGCTTGGACCGCGTTATCGGTCAGTCCATTGTTGACCTGCAATCTGAACAATGTCTTGGCTCGGCCTTGCCACGGAAATGCGCTCGTCGTCGCTTTGGCACTGATGTTGAACGTGGTGATCTCAGCCCAGAAACCGACATCCATCGACAACTTGCCCGTCTCGTCAATCAACCATTTGACATCAGCGGGACTGAGCGGCTTGTCATTCATCTCGAACAGCGTCTTGACCTTGATATTGGCGCGGCTCCATCTCGTTGCTCGCGCTACGTTAGGCAGCGCGGGGACCTGACTAAGCGCATTCACAAGTCCGTTCGTTTGGACAGGCGTGAGGGCGTCAGGCGCCGTGTTGTGCATGGATAGGAAGATATCGTCGGCCGTTGCGTCGTCTGTGCACGTGTCTTGCAGGTAGAGCCAGTAGTTGCGTGAGTTCGCCGTGCTACAGTTTCCGCTGATCTTGATATCGCCACCCGCCACGTCCAAGAAGCCCGACGTTGCAACAATGGCAGACAATTCATCTTTGCTCTTGCCCAGGTACCATCCCAGCACGTTGATACGGTCTGAGTACAAGTTCAGCTGCGAGTTGAAGAGAGGGTCTTGTCGGGACGCCCAGTCCTGAAACTTTTGCATCACTTCGAGACGAGTTTCTCTGCCAAAGTTCATCGAGAACATTGCTGAGCGGGGCAGGTTTTCCGTCTTGACAACAACTTCGGCTGTGATGCCGAATGTGCCACCGCCGCGTATGGCGTACCATAGGTCTGCGTTCGAGGTCGCGGATACATCGACCAAGTCGCCGTTTGCGAGAATTATTCTGGCGGACTCGATGTGGTCGACAGCCAGACCCTTGGTCCTCATCTGCATGTTGTAGCCCCCTGCGTTAAGGTAGCCACCGACGCCGACCGATGGGCAAATTCCTCCTGCGAATGTAGTGCCATAGGTGCCTAGGACACTGTATAGAGCGCCGAGTCTAGTACCGCCACCAACAGTGGCGGTATTGAGATCCTTGGACGGCAGAATATAGTTCATATTGGAAATGTCGATGACAAGCGAGCCGGTCAGTGCGGACCAGTTCTCGAAGTTGTGTGCTCCAGAGCGAGGAGCAATCTTGAATCCATTCGCGACGCCGCACTTGACCAGCGGGCTGATCTCGTTGAGTTTGTTGACGTACACGACCAGTGCTGGGAACTGGTCGACCAAGACGGCACCCGTCCGGGCAGAAAGATACTGATCACTGGAGGGGGTGATGATTCGGTTCGCACTGTTCGACCCCAGAGCCTTTTCGATACATGTGAGAAGGCCCTTAGAATCTGCACCAGTGAGTGCGGAAGGGTCCTGCGGTAAGGCTACCGCAGATAAGGTGAAAAGAGTGGGGATAGAAATGAGTGTGAGAAAAAGAGAAGAGTACATAATGTAAGGCGTCGGTTGGTCCTACCGAGAGAGGTCTAAAAAGAGTGAATGTGTGATCGATAAGACGTAATTTGAACCGGCTCCGTGGAGGCCTATTTGAATACAGAGGAAATTGCGAACTCTCTTTCGGGCCATCCATCTTCGCTATCGTTGTATTGAGCTTAACACTCTAGCGTTCAAGTGGTGCAGCTCCAGAACGAACACTAACGACTCATCTCGGCCAGGCAGAAAAGGTGTGTGGCATGGTGAATTTCGCCTACTTTGGGAGAATGTCTTACACCGAGCTGGAGTTCTTCAGTGCCGGTCGTCCTTCTCATGTCGCAAAGAATGTCATCTGAGTGTCATAAGAGAGTTCCGAGGTGTCATTTGACGAGAAGAGTATACATGTTGCTTCCTACGTGATAACTGTAGGGTCTCCTGTTGTGCACCCATATACCTACCTGGAAAGCATACCCTTTACCCAGCGATATCGAGCGTGCGTGTTGCACGTGGCAGCATGTGCCGATTTTCTCAGGAACTTGCACATCTTTTTGATCATGGCCCGACCTTCTCGAACACCGAAGTGATTCATTGTTAAATTAAGCCGATGAGGTCAACTTGACTCGGATCGCAGAATGCTCAACGCAAGATCTGTGAGAAAAAAGGGTTAAATCTGCCCAACCTGGATTGCGAAAGAAGTTGCAGAAGACGTGATGGACTGTATAATTACCAAGAGTCAAGCTAATGAAACTACAAAGTCATCTCTGCGCTGTTTGCTTCAAGCGCTTTACCATCCTTATCGTACTTGCCCGCTGAACCAACGAACACGTTCTCAAACTCATGCTCATTGAAATCAACCTTGGTCGCGATTCCGCCCCATCTCCACTCTCCATTTATCTTCTTGTAGAACATCTTCACCAACCCGTGACCGTGGCCTTTGGCGGCAATCGTTTCTCTCCCTTCGTTCCACCTCATATGTGCGGCTCTGGATTGATGCTGACTGACGATCTCCGTATTGGATATTTTTTCCCATTTCGACAATGCTAACATGTGTTGTGAGTCGATGTGCTTGTCACCCAAAAAGAGCGGGTCCCGCATCATCTCGACAAAACTTGCTGCTGGCATGTCGTCGGACTTGGAGTTGTTCACCCCAGAATAGTTGACCTAGTGTTCAGTTTGAATACTCAGTTCCACAAGATCGAATATGCGAATGAACTAACGCTGACAGTCGGTGCAAGCATTCTTGCAAGTCTATCCCAATCCTGTTGGACACCATAAGTAGGACTTCGATGATTCTCTGCTTGCGTGGTTACCTTCTCGTCATAGCTTCTTGCCCACTCGAATGCAAGCTCGCTACAGTCAAGCCATTCTGGAGTAAATTAGACTCAAATGTAAGATATGTTCGCGGCGTTTCCCCCCACCTTCGAATGTTGGTTTCTTAGTAGCACCCATGATAAGTTTGCTATCAAAGCTGATTTGGTATGAGAATTGAGCCGTATCACAACAGCGGAAGTTAGCAGTGAGAAAGATGCTTACATGCTATCTACGTCTTCGTGTAGTGCTGATATTCAGCGCGGTACTCTGTTGTTGGCTCGGTCTTTGAGTCTTCCAAAGGGATTAGTGCCGGCATCCATGCCGGCAAGTCCATCCATGATTCCCGGCCGTCGAGGTTTCAACAGTCCCGAATGCCATGATGGAAGCTCCTGACACGTACATAAGGTCCACGACAATGTCCAGATCATCTTCGCATCCAAATCATCCATCCAAATCATTCATCCAAACCATGTCATCATCAACGACCAATGCAACACTTAGTGGCAAGGTGGCGCTCGTGACAGGATCCGGTCGGGGCATCGGTGCTGGCATTGCTCGCGAGCTAGGAGCCAGAGGGGCTTCGGTTGTGGTGAACTATCGAGGCAGCGCAGCCGCAGCTAATGCTTTGGCCGAGGAAATCACCGCCGCCGGCAGCAGCGCCGTCGCTATTCAAGCTGACATTTCGAACATCGACGAGATCAAAACCCTGTTCGAGAAGGCCAAGGAACACTACCATAAGATCGACATTGTTGTTTCGAATTCCGGCGTTGAGCATTTCGGTGCCCTCGCCGATGTCAAACCCGAGGATTTCGACAAAGTCTTCAACATCAACACCCGTGGCCAGTTTTTCGTCGCTCAGCAGGCGTACCAGCATCTATCCAATGGCGGTCGCTTGATTCTCATGTCGTCCATCTCGGCCCACAATGCCATTCGCGAACACGCCGTCTATGCCGGCAGCAAGTGTGCAGTGGAGGCCTTTGCTCGGTGCTTCTCCCAAGAATTTGGGGCGCGACGTATCACGGTGAACTCGATCGCTCCTGGTGGAGTCAAGACGGACATGGCGGCCGACGTTGGTTACAAGTACTTGCCGATGGCTGATGCATCGTGGACTTGGGAGCAGATTGAGGGGATTGTGGCAAAGAGGACCCCTATGGGGCGTATAGCCGACCCCATCGACATCGCGCGCGTCGTGTCGTTCCTCGCCAGCGAAGATGCTGGTTGGGTGAACGGCCAAAACATTACGATTTCTGGAGGAGCATCAGGTTGAACATCAACGTTGTCAATCTCGGCCTCATTGAGCGGGTGAACGGAACTCAGCTCGCCTCGGTAGTCGGTAGTCGGTAGTTGGGTAAGGGTTTTCGGTGTTCGGCAATCCAGATTCGGTCTAGACAACGGCCTAGGTACCAGTTACTAAATTTATCCTGTATTGCCTAGCTGTGCTCCACACTACAAGCTTGAGTTTGTACCCTGTCAGACAATGCTAACGAAATGTATGTGCACATCAAAAAACGGTTGTTTGACATCACTTTTCGAAAATCGATGTTTGCTGTGATGTCGAATGTGGGAATAGTAGAGCCAGATTCGAACGAAACTGCATGATTGAATAACAAAGACAGGGACCGAAGATATCAGAGTTATCAGGAACTCGTTTCGGGACCGGCTGGGTTTCTTGATCTCTTCAAATGAGACCTGCGAGCATAACAAAAACAGGTACGATGGAAAGAGCTCTATTTAATCTAAACCTAACCCGATTTACGCAGATACTGTGGAATATATATTTAATCTTGTTGTGTTCTCCTACGTCTAATGGTAGGACTTAATCTTCTTAGTTATACCTAAGAACGTCTATTGTCTACAAAGTTGAGGCCCAGCACATCCTCCAACGCTTCTCCGAAATACGTAGTTACATTTGTATAGTTTCTCGCAGATTATACAACGAAGAGTACTAGATAGTACAGTAACTAGTCTAATACCTTACATACAATAGAACACAGTACTTAGACACATTGTGGGATTTCCTACCTAATCTTGAATGGCATAGACGATAGAACGGTAACTTTGCAAACACCAACAACAAAATAATGTGATTTTCATCTCCTTTTCATGTTTTCCAATACAAAACTTATTTACCGGGACAGCCACGACCTCCCTTCGTCCTAAGACTGCAGCAATCCGCTCTCTAACATAGATATTAGTAGGATGCCAAGGTTACACAATGAATTGAAAGGCAACGCGAGTTTACTTACGCAGGAGCTTAGGGGGACACCAAGGGCAGGGCAAAGTGTAACTCGGGGGCATGCGCCAAGTTGCTCGATCCAACCAGAAGATTGGCGCTCACAGGCTCCTCGGGTGGAAAAGCAGCAGTCGTTGCTCGAGACACACTGAGGAAGATATATTAGTTATTACCGATTGAGAGCTTATCAAGGGTATCTCTTACCTCTGGAACTTGGGCGGCAGCGCTACTGACCATAAGGCCTGCGAGAAGGGCATTGAGGAGAACAGTAAGCTGCATAATGAAGATAGCAAGAACTTGAGTTGTGTAAAGCGAAAGTGTGTTGTGTAGCGTGTTGTGTAAAGCGAAAGTATGTTGTGTAGAAGAAGAGAGTAGTAGTAAGCAGTTTATATAGACTTGATTCTGCTCAACCAAGAAGAGGGCAATAGTACAGCACTCGTATTTTCTTGGTTTCATCTCGGTCGTTAAGCACAGACAAAACACAGAAATAATCACGCGAGGAGGTCTAGATTAACTTCTATTTCTAAGTTCTTCGTATCGCGCTACGCAAGTTGCCGCCAAGGTTAGCTGCAAAAGCTTGTATATAAATACCAACTACCAAGACCTGTTTTTTCTTTGGTTTCTCTAGCTAAGACACATGACTGTAGATTGCCAATCTCGGTCCCTTTACGTTGCAATGCATGTGTACTTACAGTAAACTAACGAGTAGCTTGACTAACTGTCGGACCGACGCAAAGATTTACGGTCAGATTAACACTCGTGAAAATGGTGCTGGTAATAACAGAGCTCGTATAGACTTGCAATAGTGTCTAACTGGAAAGAGGACTAATATCTACTATAAAGCACAAACTCCAAACCTTTCTATTATTACCAATTTACTCACTACCACGCTCACTACTACCAAAAACATTACTCGTTTCGTCTCACGACATCTATTCGCTATTAACATCAGTATGAGGTTTACTACTTCCATCATCCTCTTTGCTCTGTCCATGAGCGTCCAGGCTACCGTAAGACCTCCAAATCCATCCAAGGAATTCAACGGATAGGAAAGCTAACAGACAACTCAATAGTGCAATATTCCTGGTCAAGGCTCCGGTACTACCTCCGATACTCGCTGCTGCTGGGGTGGCTCTGAAGGCTCCGATGCCTGCTACAGGCAGAACGGCTACGCGGGTTGTGGTAACGGTATCGAGAACGCAAATTTCTGCAGGAATGTGGGTGTTCCCAACTCTCGCTGCGTAAGTACTCTCTGCTCCATTTGTTCAGAGGATACGGGTTGATTAACACCTTGTAAGAATTCCGACTGCTGCGATATCGCCACTGGCCGTGGACAGCCTTGTCCCAGAGGTAACAACCGCTGTGACAAGGATTCTGGCTGCCCTTACCGCAGGTTCCCCCAGGGTACTCTTATCTAAACCGTCTCTAGAGGTTATGCTAGTCGGCTTGCATATTTATAAGTAAGGAGTGAAGGATCTGGCTAGTTGTTCGATTGTAATCGATAAATGCTTAACTAATCTTATCTGGCAATATATTGTTCCCACCTGAACCCTACGAGAATACGAGTGAATGAGATACCTAGATGATACTTTAGTGGAGGGTGCGATGTGGTAATTTTCGAATGCATAGTTGTCAGGCGTTGGGTGTTATGGCAAAGGAAAATATTGAGCTTCGAAAGGCAGCTGAGGCAGCAACAGAGCGAAAAACTCGCAAGAGAAAGGTCGCTAGTGGTACAGCTGGTATCGAAGTCTCATCGACATCAGTTAAAATATTTGTGGTGCTGATTACAAGCGGATATATGGAATACAGGAAGAATCATGGGTAATAGCTCTAGCAGTGAAATGCCCGGAGGCAGCTCGTTAACGTCGGGACAACACTCAGGTATATCTAGTTTTTGTTCTTGGACATCAACCAATGCACCTCTCCATTAGTCTCTTCGTCAGTCCCTAGCAGATCGTGGTGGAAGATCTCATCAGGGTATCCAAGGCTAGGACCCTTTGCGACACTTCTCGTGACCAGGTTTAGGGAGAGGGTCGGGGATTGTGTTTCCTTTGGATAATATGGTTGGGCGGAGAATGCGCACTCCAAAGCTGTGGGGCTATTTGGTCGGTTGCGCACGATGAAACTCAGTGAGTGAGTTGTTGGAAGGAAGAATAAGCGTACACAGGAAGAAGCACTGGACGGTAGATGAGGTAACATCGGTAATCCAAGTTGGTTACATATCATCATACCACCAAGGCATCAATTCTTGGCGAATGCTTCCTCCAACGAGTAGATTTCCTCATGACGGTAGCTGAATCAACTGTCTGCTCCAAGAGTGACATAATTCACCATAGCTGTTTCATTGAGAATTGACGTAATATTCTCAACTTTGATATTCTGTCTGATCTCACGATAAGATATAACACCTGGTCAGTTGGTGCACTCTCCTAGTTCACCCCCTTGTTTCGGAATGAAAGTACAGTCTTTATGTCCACAACTGGGTTGCAAGTTTGTAACTTCAACCGTAGTATAATAATCTCCTATCCATCGTCATATCAGCATGCATGAATTTCATCAGTGGTTGAATGGAAGTTGCGCGATTCTCCACAGTAGAGGCAATGTCGCTGAATGCCGTTGCAGTATCTTTCTCTAGATCGTTGAAGGATCACTGTAGATCACCCGATGTCAGTACGGAGTGGCTTGATGTATGGGTAAATGAGTTCCCTGCGGGCTCTGGCCGCCATTGACACTAATGAAGAGGAGATGCTTACACCACGAGCTGAAACCCAAGTCTAAAGTTCACTCTTCCTTAAATCTGTAAATCTTCTATACATGGGGACATCGGCTTCGTTCATCGGCATGATCTTGAACATAGTCAGATGGAACACGACGAAGCAGTAGTACAGATGCGTTAAGCCTGCCGTGTTGATCTAGTTTGGCATGATCTTGTTGCACGCTCTTTCACGCGTGTTCTATCCCTTGAATACAAACTCACAATAATTAAGAGCATACTCGCACAAGTAAATTCGGGGTAATGTACGAACCTGATAGTATGCAACCCGTCAGCCGCCGGAGGATCGAAAATCTTTGTCACATGAGGGTTTCGCGGTAATGTCGCAAGAGCCATAACCTTGTTGGCATGGGCTCTCGCCATATTTAGGCTAAGGATAATAACAGTGAACATCCTTGGTCCGACACCAGATTTTATAGGATCAGCACATCTTCAACCATTATTTCTGTGCACCCTTTAGTGATTGAACCCCACGCATAGCTGTAGAACTTAGAATATGCGTTGTTACAATGGAACATAACCTCTTACCATTTGCTTCATAGTTGGACGAACACACGTTGAGACCGCAATGAGCCTCTGTGAAGCCACATTCACTATCTTGGTTACAGCAAGCTCCGTCTTTGCAACGCTGACCAATACTACATTGTATAGGTCTCTCTATCGCTCGTTTGTTGAAAAGATGGGAGTGGCGAAGCGTGATGAGCCTGTTTCCGTGACTACTGTATGGATGACGCGCCAATTGTCGGTAAGGGATGCCGTCGCATTATTGGCGGTTTCATCTCCGGTGGCACTCGAGTTCGAGATCTGTGCGCGGTTATACATCTCACCCAAAGCGAGGATATCAATGTAGTTACCGTTTGGTTGTTGCTGAGTCTCAGGCTTATATGTTATGACTAAGGGTGATTAGTGTTTGTCTAAGATGGCAATTTACTGCGAGTGGCTTACGAGCGGAATCCACACCCATAGTGCTGATGTTCCTAGTAGTAGCATCTTCTTAGCCCTAGCCTTGTGTGCAATACGCAGATGAATGCTTAGAGTAATCAAATTCGCTGGCAAGCATCTTTGTGCCATTCTCGAATTTTAACGTGCTCTCGGCGAACCGTAACGATGTTTTGGGTGAAATCAATATAATCTATAGCATTAGACGTGTAACTATAGTTACGCAGGTTCTGTGTGGTCAGACGCTCTCCGAGAGCAGCTCTCTCATGAAAGGTCTGCAATATCGAGGATCTAACTAGCATCCATTTTATTTCCACTCTGTTATTCTTGAACTCTTGCTATATTTGTTGGAAGGTTGGTATTGATACGATGCTTCGTTCTTTGCTGATCAATCTTTATCATTAAGTCACTGTGTTGCTCAGACTTCTGCTATAGGTAATTATAAAATCAGATTTTGGCTGCTGAGCTCTGATCTACGTTCGCGAATCTCAAATGAAATTTTACGGCCAGAATCTTTTTCCAGGGGAATCTATAGCTCTCCTTCTTCGACTTTTGAGAATAACTGTGCTCTGCCCTGGAGTCGCCATCGATTGAGTTTCTAACTCGAGATTTGAGCATACCGTGAACACTTTCTTGCCTAATAACGAGGGACAATTAGCGTTCCGGAAGTATCACGAAAAGGTATGCAAAGACAATAAATGCCAATCTTGTTTACTTGCTTGGTTGATGCCTTTCCCAGCACAACTAGTGTAGTAAGGGGCACAGTTAGTTTTACCTGCCTAACCAACACCCTCAGGAATGTCATATGATATTGAGCATCAGCTGGGTTGCGATTTCTGGTGCATGACCATCTAACTTACAACCAGGCATGCGTACACTACCTTCAATAAATGTCCCAAGCGTAAATTCGTTACAGGAGTACATTCGTCCTGATCTTGAAGGCTCTTGACCCGGGATCCGAACAGCCCGGATCTCCAGCTCGGTTCTAGGGTCGTCGATTTCGAGTAGACTGTGTAGCCATGGCCCTGGCAGAACAACCCTATGCAAAATCAGTAATCAATGTAAGAGACACATACCCTACACACGATGAGTATTAGCACTTACGGTTGCCCAATTTCTGGACACTCTTCGAATAATGTTGGGTAACGTTTGGGTCCAGGCTTCTACATCACAATTGGAAAGTCAAACAAGGTACAGAGAGAAGTACTGAAGTCCTTTATAGTAAGGTTCGAATTGCAAGACCCTTGAGAGTCTGCATTATCATAATACAGTCGTAATAAAAGGTTAGGCCAATTCTTTTAAGACCTTAGCAGACTACACAGGTCGTGAATGGATAAAGATGATTGGTTAGTATTGGTTTATCTTTATCATCCTCAGGCCATCACGCTACAATCTCCTCTGTTCTCTAGTCATCGGTCGCGGGCTGTGAAGCCCTGATGGGAAAGACTTTTTCTAAACCGCAAATTCGGGAATGCCCGCATTTTGGTGCAATCTTGGCGCCGCGCACTAGTGCTCCGCAATGGCAGCAAATATGAACGGGCATATCGCTATATCTCGCTTAGAATCTCACACAATCTCCTTCTCAAGCCGATAAACTTGCCATAACTACTAGCACCGCGGAGACATCCATGAGCGAGGTATTCGACCTACTTCGCGGGTCAGTCTTCGAAGATGTGTTAAATATTCTTGTTGCCAACAATCCAGACCGTCCAAATCCCAAGCTATCGCCTTTCATCAGTCATCGGATTGCGGCAGAAGCAGCCTCAGATACACCCCTTCGCGAGATCTCGTTCAGCATTGAAACCCTAGACAAATACGAAGCCGCTGAGTATGTAAGGCCAGAGTCGTTAGTTATACACAGGGCGGACGGCGGCGTTGTTACTGTTACAGATGTAGTTAAACAGCTCTCAGCCCGCTTCATCGCACATAAGGATGAAATACTAGAAGCCAAAGAGCCCTTACTCCACGCGACTATCCACAACTCAAATAACAAGCTACGGATAAGCAACCTCCCACTCCCTATAGGTCAGGACATACCGGAAGACACGCAAGTCTATTTCAACAGATTTTTTAGTAGAAGTAAGCTAGGCCGGTTTTTACTTCCAGTGCAATTGTAGGCTAAGGGAGAAGACAGATAATCTTTTAAGGATTATTTTAACTAGCTTTATATAAGTTAAGAGCGCAACATAGGTAGTAAGGAAGTATTAGGAGTTAATACTACTAGGTACAATATACTAGAGAGGCAAATTAAAGCTATAATTATAATAGAATGCCTACAGAATCTACAAGTTTATATATTAGGTACAACACTCTAGTATATATTAATAAAGGTTAGCACCTACTTTATTACAAATAAATAAGTAGCTATACTAGTGTAGTATTTTCCAATAAAGCGTACGTTTCCTTTAGAATATCCGTCCTAATAGCCGTTATTATTCTTAACTTTAAACCTTAATAAAATCCTACACAATCTCCTTAGAGCTCTAGTCTATAATCTTAATCTTTTATTTAATCCTATTTTCTAATTTATTTATAAATATACCTAAGAGACGAAGATAGTTATTATAACGTACTAGTAGAACACATCTACCTTCTAGGTATATTTAAGGATATACGTATTTATTATTTTAATAATAAAGACTTCTATAAAACAGAAGTCTATGTTTATAATAACCAAGGTATAGCGCAGAAGCTAGATTCTTAAACCCTATCTAACCTTTCTCCTTAATACATTACTACCTAAAAGTACTAAGCCCTCCTAGTTTATCTATTACAACCTTACTGTCTAAGAACGTAATAACTTATCTATTATTATAAGATTAAATAATAAAGGTTTATCTAGGCTATAGGATAGAAGATTGTAGAATTTTAATACCTAAAGCGTTCTTTATAGTATTTTTAGAAGATACAGAAGGTGTGTAGATATCCTACGTTTTAGACCTAATAATAGAAAGAGCTATAGGCTAGTTATATACTATACTATTAAAGACTAGTTTTAATAATTATTTATAATATACAAGGATTAAGGTGTTTAGAAGAAGGGTAGAAGAAAGATATACTTTTAAGGGATTATTAATAAACGTTATACACCTTAGGCAGGCAGTAGAGGTACAGTTATTATATACCTAGGTATATCTAGTACTTTTATTAGTATTACTTACCCCGCTAAAGTAGAGCAGTAAATTAGTATATATTTATTAGAATTGCTTTAGCACTAGCCTTGCGCTAATTATTGCAAGGTAACAGTATAAGTAACTTATATAAGGCTTATTTATATAAGTACTCTCTAAAATACTTCTATAAGAAACTTAGGAATTATATAAAATAGTAATTCTAAGTTAGGTACTAGCTTATAGAAAAGGTACGTTCTAGGTATAGTAGTAGAGGTAGTAGTAGTAGTAGTACTAGTAGTAGTATTATTATTCTAGAAAGTAATAGAAGTAATAAACTATATATAGATTAGTTAAGCTAAGTTTATAAAGGGTAATTAAAAAGATATATTTAAGAATACTAGATATAGTAGTAAACTATAGTTTTAGGTACTATATTAATATACTTATATCTTAATATACTAGTATTTATAAAGTCTAAAGATATAATAAAAGGTATTTAGTAGCTTAGAATTAGGTAGTAAGTTATTTATAAAGAAGTTAAACTAAGTAAGAAAAGTATTACTAGAAATTAAGTAGCTATATAAAACTATATAAATTAAGTTAGTAAATATTAATTTAATATTTATTAACTATAGCCTATACTACTTTAGTCTTATATTATAGAGTTTAACTAAAGTTTACTAATATACCTTACTACTATTATATAGCTTAACTAAAGTCTACTAAAACTATTATATTATTAAAGTAAAGTTTACTATTTAACTTTTACTACTATTATATAGTTTTACTAAAGTTTACTAGAATTAATATATTATTAAGGTAAAGTTTTATAAGAGTACTATAAATAGGTAATTAAGATATAAAATAAATAGGTATTTATAAAGAAAGTATATAAATTCTTTAAGTATAAGCCTTAAAAATTTATAAGTACTATATACTAAAGCTTTAAAGGCCTTATACTCTTAGCCTAGAGGTTTACTAAAGGTAGACTAATAAAAGGTTAAATAGAAATACTTATAATAAAGTTTTTTCTTTTTTTATAGTTTATTCTAAATTACTAGAATTTATAAAGTAGATAAATAGGTATTTAATTTATATTATTATTTTAATTAAACTTTATAAGAACCTTTTATAAAGAAATAATAGTTTAGAAGAAATTTAGTACTAAATTATTTAAGGTTTTTTTAAGCTAATTTTTAGATTTAGTCTAAAAGGCTACTATACTAGGCCTATTTTTTTATTATTAAGTTCTTATAACTTTTATAAGTATAGTTTTATTTATTATAAGTAAATATTAAGTTTTTAGAAAAGATTCTATTTACTATTATTTCTAGATTATAATTTTTAGAGGTATAGTTATATTTATTCTATATTATTATTAGTAACTTTATATTTAGAAGTTTTACTTTACTAAGTATATATTAACTATATAAATAGTTTATTAAGCTTTATTACTCTTTTAGCTCTATTTTAGAAACTTTATAATATATAATTATATAAAGTAAAAGCTTAATATAAAGTTTACTTATTATAATTTATTATTTACTTACTTTATTATTATATTTAGTATTTATACTAAATTATATAATTATTTATAGGTTAGTATTAATTTTATAAGGCGTATTACTAGTAGCCTTCTTATAGGCTTATTTTATATAGGCAGTACTTATTTTAATATTAGTACTTATTATACTTTTTATAAGATTTATAACTATAGTTTTTTTATAAGAGTTTATTAGCTTATTATAAGTAGTTTTTTAGGTATAATTCTAGTATTCTAAGTAGTATTTATTATATATTTATATTATAATAACTTTCTTTAGTTACTAGTATATATAAAGTAAAGTAAAGTAGTATAGTATTATAGTAATTCTAAAGGGCCTATATATATATATTAAATAAGTATTAAATACATATATATTACTTAATAAATTTAATATTACTATATAAATCTGTTTTTTAGTAACTTACTATACTTTTACTTTTTTATATTAGTAATATACCTTTACTTAAGTAGATCTATTAGCTTTTTACTAGTATAGCATTTTAGCCTACTCTTATTTACTTTTAGTATATAAGCTATATTTTTTTTATTATTACTACCTTTATAATATAGTAATAATCTAAGTAGAAGAGTTAGGTTAAGGTTAAAAATAGTAGAAATATTAGTATTTAAATAAGTAGAAAGAAAAGGTTTATAAAGATATACTTATATTTATTAAGTAAATCTACTCTACCTAAAGTAAAATACTATAAGTTACTTAGAATTTCTATTTTATAAGTAAGTCTACTCTACCTAGAATAGTACTAGATACTATAAGTTACTTAGAATTTCTATTTTATATATAAGTCTACTTTACCTAAAGTAGTACTAGGTACTATAAGTTACTTAGAATTTCTATTTTAT